GAAATATAGTTGTTCTTAGGAAATGCATGCTGAGGCATTTGGGAGTAATGTATCAAATCTACAGGTTAATTTCAAATGGTTCAAGAATTTTTAAAGACTAGAGAGGGAAAGAGAAAGCAAATGTGCCAAAACAATAGCAGTTGTTGACTCGAGGTGGAAAATATATGGATATTCATTGTGGTTTTATTTCAAGTGTTTCTTTTTTCTGCTTGAAATTTTTCAAAATTAAAAAGTTGGTGGGGGATACTTTTTGTATATTCAGCACTGAGAATACATCTTTTCTTCTTCTTAGTCATAGGCCTGTTTAGTATTTTGCTGGCTGTAACAGAAAGCAGGACTACATGCACACTGAATATACTTGTGTATGCCAGAAATAGCATTAAAGCCAGAGAGAAGAGTAAGGGGAAAACTCTTATTTTTTTCTTATTAAATGTGTACTTTTAATTCCCTATAATTTAAAAAATAATATATTCATTGCAATTTATGAAACAATACAAAGATATATAAAGAAAGAATAATCTCTATTAGTAGTCTGTGTGAAATATCTGTATTAAATATTCACTAATGGGACACTCCACACTGTGTTTATATCAGTAACTATTATATGCTAATCACTATAATAGGTAATGCAGAAACAAGGAAAACTTTTGTACTTTTGAGGAGCTCACCTTATAGGAGAAGAAGCAGACATGTAAACAAATGTAAGGTACTATACAAAGTATGGACAAAGAATTGCAGGAAGGACTTTTGATGATGGAAAAATAAGTAATTTAGGGAAAAAAATACCCGACTGAGGACAAGTTAAAGCTAAACAGAATATAAAAACATCTGCTTGAAGACATGATAGAGCAAATAAGAAAGGTAAAGATTTATGGAGCCTAGATCCAGGAAAGATAGAAATCCACAGTGGTGAGCATAGCATTTGAAAACACTTTTCCCATAGAAGCTTCTGCTGGTTCCAGAAGCAGCAGCTTAGGTGATGAGAAGCTAGTTGAATAGCACTTTTGACAGATGCTTGGAGCATGGTTGGAGTTCAGAGGTCCTCTAAGAGGAGGTACTGATAAATTACCCAAACCTTGTGTTAGGACCCTGAAAAGATAAATCTGGATATGAGAGCTATCTGATAAATCTGGTATAAAAGAAATAGGCTCATTACAGGAACAGAAGCCCAACTTCAAATCATCTCAATTCCTGAAATTAGATTAAGGACATCATAGATTGATAGTAGCCTTAACAACTTGCATGTCCTAGGTGCAAAACCTTAATAATCAAAGGTGTAAGAATTGAAAAAGAAGAAATAAACCTATCAGTATTCACATATGATACGACTGCAAATCCTTAAGATTTTAGATAATGCAAAGGAAGAATCCAAAACAAGGTTGCTGGGTACAGGACCATATTTTTTTAATCAGTTATTTCTACTTAACGGCAACAAAGTGAAATTTTAGGAAGACACCACTTATAAAAATATCAAAA